ACCAGCATGTTTATGATCCTTTCTATACACAGCGACATTGCATTGATGGGCGACCATAACATATAATTTTGTGAACAGGAACACATTTGCATTAAGCACCCAGTTTGCACTTGTCTAAAGTAATTGGTTACATATACAAAATAAGCTTACAATAGCAGAATTAAGCCCTGCTGGTAAAATTAAGGTTTAAACACTCTCCAATAAGGCTTCAGTTGTTTAACTAGTTTACATGCAGTGAAAGTATAGGCTACATAAACCTACTGCATTTACTCTTTAATGAATTAGCAATTAATAAACTACTAATAAACGGCAAACTACTTCTTCGCTGCTGATTCCTGGTGGTTTAGAGGTGAATTACTCGAGAGTTCGCCCCCTGTCGTTTCACAGAATAGCACAACGGCGAGCGCGTCAAGTATAAATGCCTCGTCCGTTTAGAGAGGTTCGCGCGCAGGCAGCGTAGACTCGCGCTCTTGCGGACGCATCGAGTACAAGGCTTGAGCACAGTGCAGGACCAGAGACAGAGGGACGAAGAAAGCAGATTTCCTCCCTGAATCGTCACGCTTATTCATTTGAGCACTCAAACACACCAAACCAAGTTAACAATTGCTAAAAACACACGGGCACATGGGCATTTTTAGCGCAGGACCAGAGACAGAGGGACGAAGAAAGCAGATTTCCTCCCTGATTCGTTGCGTTTATTCATTTGAGCACTCAAACACACCAAACCAAGTTAACAATTGCTCAAAACACATGGGCACACGGGCATTATTTTGCACGGGCATTTTGCACTATACATCTATAAATTGCAGGAATTCTATCTATAAATTATCACACTTGGATATCACACACTTGACGGTGTCTTGCTACGGGTGCAGTGCCGAGTTTGACATTGTTTGGATTAGGTACGCACAAATAAAAATGTCACTGAACTTTTGCTGTGTAATTCTAACAATGAGCACTCAAACACACCAAACCAACAATTACTAAAAACTTGGGGCATGGGGACTTTGCACTAGTATTAACTAATGACAATAAAATAGACCATCCTAAGTCAATTTATTGCAATAATTCCTCTCTCAGCCAGTAGAAAATGTTTTGAACACCTGATTATGCTTGGAATATGCCTGATTTGCTTCTTTTAAACATTATCTTACCGATCTAAAAAAAAAAAAATAACGATTGTGTGCGTGTGTGTGAATGTGTAAATAAACTGTGCAGTGTGCAGATGAAATACTATGAATAAAGCAACTAACCTTAAACCATTCCCATCATCAAAGAAGAAATACTTGGATTTAACTTCCTTCAGGTTTAGTTTGGTGTTGTCACCTCTCAAGACAATCCTGTCCCATAGAACCACCTGGTTCAGTGCCTAAAATGGGATAACATGGCAGACTTTATTAATGTGAAAAACGCAAAAAGGTCTAGTATAGCAAAACAACAAATACCCAGCACCCATTCACATAGATTTTTAAAGCCTACGGACTCTTTGGATATACTGAAGTGCTAAAAACTTACATTGCTTTTGGTTGTATATTCAGCAGTCAGGTAAAGAAAGAGCTCCTTCACATTCCAGTCAAATATTGGCCGCAGATGTAATAAAGCGGTTAAAGCAAATAATGCAAATCTAGTTCGAGATGTAAACTGCACTGCAAAGCTGTATGGAAGCTGCATCTCAAAGTGGCAAATATTCAACAAAAGCTGCATTTACAAAGACTGCAGAATGGTGAACTGAGGTTGCATAAATGTATTTAACACAGGAATTACTTTTGGAGAAATAATGCTAAATATGTCATTAATGCAGAAACGTGAAATAATAAATAAAACTTTGAACAACTATGGCTTAGTGACTTTTTTTCCATCAACATGGATGTGACTATAGCACAGCAGTGCTCTGTTCTGTCAAAAGGATATTAGCAGAAAGGTCGAATGTCACAAAGCCCAAGTCACTCCTCTCTCGTGGTCCTGTGAAGTCGTCTACGTTTTTACTGGAGAAAGAATGAGACAGAAGATCTCAGCTTAGATATGTGAAACAGAGATGTAAAAGACGAAACTACATTCAATCATGCAACCTGACGCTTCACACACATTTAAAATGCACATTACCCACAAAATAAATCTTTATATATATATATATATATATATATATATATATATATATATATATATATATATTATTAAACGTTTCAAAATACTGTTGAACATAAGCACAAAAACAAGATCTTTCTATTTAATTAATTTGCAAAGCTGACGTGCTGCACTGCCATTGGCCACCAGCTCAGCATCTACAAGTCCCATATGCTGCAACAAAAAACATGATTCTAAATGGTCGGTGATGTCCAATGTATATCAAAGAACTTATACATTTTAAAGATCTCAACATTGATTTTCTTTTGAAGCTCTGGTCGTAGGCTCAGAAACAGTGCAGTTAACTTACATCATGACTTTGGATACGTGTATATCCACCGGTACGCTTCTATCTTTGAACGCTGTGGTAATGAAGCACCCGAATGTTAGCGCTGCCATCACACTGAGAGAGAATGCAAAGAGGGAGTTCGCCCTCGACAATACCGTATTCATGATTCAGTCTAGTTAACAATGAACTGCAAAAACAAAGATATAAAGAAACGCTCCAAGCCGAGGTTCAGAGCAGGAAGTATGGCAGTTAAAAGATGAATTCGGAAGAAAGACCTACTTCCTGTTTCATTTAGAAAGGACACATTGCCACTCAGTGGTCAGGAAGTGACATTGCAAGCACTATAATATATTTTTTTGTCAAATGCAACAGTAAAACACATACCGGTACACATTTATACACACATACCAGTGTACATGGCAAAAATTCATTACTACATTAGATAGGCCTACTATATTGTTAAAACTGAATTTTATTAATTACATACTTATTGTGTTCATAGCTACATATTTGCATATTACTTTTGGATTAATGTTGTATATTTAGCTTACATTTTTAATACTGCAATATGAAAATTATTGAAAAGATCAGGGACAGGCAACGTTTCTGGAGTGCCGCTATCCTGCAGAGTTTAGCGTCAACTCTAGCAGTAATGCAAAAGATGATGATTAGGCCTAGCTGGTTCAGCCTGAAGGTGTGTTTGATTTGTGTTGGAGGAGCTAAACTCTGCACCCAGGAGGACCGACATTGCCCGTTATAGATTAAATATGAAAGTAAAATGGCTAGTAGGTGGTGGGAAGTTATTGAGTGAGTCATTCATTTAAACTTAATTGGGAATTCTTTGATGACACACTGTTGTGTGACTCGGAGAACAACACGGTGCCAGGTCCAAAAGTAGGCTAAGACCAGAGTATTAAAGGGGAATATGATGAATCAGACAGGCACAACTGTGACAGGTCGCCGTAGTTAGCATGACTAATTTAACTAGCCTATAATAACGGATCGCCAGGTAGAAATAGCGGTACAGGTCGAGACTCGACCGTCGAGTTGCACTTGCAGGCACACATAGAGTTTAACAGTGTCCTGCCACTGAAAGATTTTTTTCCAGCTGAGCTGGGGTTATCTTATCTTCACCCGTGGAGTGAACAAGTTGCGTGAGTGCCGTCAACTCCCTTCTTTGATTGATTGGCTAGAGGAGGAGCTGTCAATCTAGAGCTTGTGGACCAATGGTGACGCTTAACCCGCCCTAATTTACATGAAACTCGAACATAAAAAAATAATAAAATAAAAAAAAATGAACATAAATTTTATGGGGTTCCATTTGTGCCGAAATTATGTCGACATGCTATCTGTCTATCTATGCTATGTGTCGTCTTCCGTGTCTATGTGTCTGTTCACTATGTTCATGTTGTCTGTCTATGTGTCGTCTTCTGTGTCTATGTGTCTGTTCACTATGTTCATGTTGTCTGTCTATGCTATGTGTCGTCTTCCGTGTCTATGTGTCTGTTCACTGTCTATGTTCATGTTGTCAAGACGACAGTCAAACGACAAGGACAGATGACAGGAGTAAGTTGAGTGCACAAAGACAAAAGTTGAGTTGTGGGCAATCACATAGACAGTGAACAGAAATACATGGAAGACGACACATAGCATAGACACATAGCATAGACAGACAACATGAACATAGTGAACAGACACATAGACACAGAAGACGACACATAGCATAGACAGACAACATGAACATAGTGAACAGACACATAGACACAGAAGACGACACATAGACAGACAACATGAACATAGTGAACAGACACATAGACACGGAAGACGACACATAGACAGACAACATGAACATAGTGAACAGACACAGAAGACGACACATAGCATAGACAGACAACATGAACATAGACAGTGAACAGACACATAAACACGGAAGACGACACATAGCATAGACAGACAACATGAACATAGTGAACAGACACATAGACATGGAAGACGACACATAGCAGACAGACAGCATGTCGACATAATTTCGGCACAAATGGAACCCCATAAAATTTAAGTTTCGTGCAAAATATATTTTAATGTGTTTAAAGTTTTTTTTCATGCTTGTTATTTTTTGATTCGCTTATTATATTTTACTCTGTGACCACATTGTTTGCTATTTTGAATTATGATTATTTTTTGATCCATGGCCACAATACATTTGGTGGGATTTTGATCCCAAATGTAGCTCCCATGGATCACATGATCAATCAAATACTGGCTTTAAGTAACATAATCAATCATGGCCGATTATGTAGGGTATTTCTAAAATTGCAATACATAAAAAATAATCTTTAAATCATCTGAAGTCTGCTTTATTATCAACAATTATGCTAAAAAAATCTCACAATGTATCATGAGACAAACATCCAAATGACAGTCAACACCATCAACACCTATTGTTATGGCTTAGTACAGTGGCCCATTTTCCACTAGCTAAAAGTCCAGCTGCCTTATCTCATCCATACTCTGAGCTCAGCTGTCTTGGGGAATAACTGGGCCGGTCTGGCATATGATCCTCATCGACACACACATCCCTGGATCCCATTCCAAAACATTCACAGTCACTGAGCAGCAGCAATGACTGATATTTTGGAGGAGCGGCCATTCGGCTCGCAGTATAGCAAAGTCTATCTCTCGATTTTTGTCCTTTTTTGCTTCAAACTTTTTGTCAAGATCAGCTTAAACATACTGACCCACTTCTATGCGGTTAAAGGAAACCGCAAGGAGGCGGCCCGGATCGCAGCTGAGTTTTATGATTTTGGTCAAGGGCACAGTAAGTAGGCAAGATTGGGACAAATTGGGGCTGTAGCCTATATTTTGGAGCAGGTTCTGAGATGAGTCACTAGGGTGAGATTGGCTTTATCACTCATTATAACATTGCAAAAACGTTGACTTGTTGTGTAAAGAGAAAACTTCTGTTGCACAGCCCAGTTTGTAATACTAAAGAAAATTGGGTCAGTGTTCTTATCTAATCAGAGTTATTCAAATAGCTCTCTCTTAGCATTTTGGCATAGGCTGCATGGCTGGGTAGACTTTGATACTCTTAAAAAATCATTTTGGTTACACTTTATTTTAAAATGCCCCAGTAATTATACATTTAAATGATAAATTATTTAGTTTAAAGTGTTTTTGTAAATGTAATTATACCTTTAAGTAGGCATACTGATGAATATTAATCAACAACATATAGCCCACTTAATAGGATTAGATTAGGGTTTGGTTTGTCAGTTGCATGTAATTTTGCAGTTTACTATTATTAGGCTAATTTGTAACAGTGTGTTTTTTTTTTTTTTTTTTTTTTTTAATGAAAATGTTTGGTGCGATTCACTACAGAAACCTATCCCTCACATTTATTCAGTAATCTATATCTGAAGGTAACACCTGGTTACACATTACTACATGTTGCTACTTACTATATTAATATAAATTATGTAATAATTAATATAAAAGTACAATAACTAACCCCCTAAACAAACCCTAATAACTCAATAAAGTATAGTTAATTTTGTAATGTCACCTTAAAATAGGGTGACCACCCGTCCCGCGTAGCGCGTGCGCGCACAGCGTTTGAAGCCCAATTCATGCGTCCCGCAAATTGAGACCGTGTCACGCATAATCAATGCTTGCTGAAGAAAAAAAAAAAAAAAAAAAAAAGTCGGTCAGCCTATATATCCTCGAGACCCAGGCAGCCAAACCTAGTGCCTGAACACGTTCACGTTCATGAACTCGTTCATATTTTGGGTGAACTGAACGTATTGTTTTACTGCCTGTCCTGATGAACGTGGGAACTCGTTCACTCTGGTGTCTGTGAACGCACGCTCTCTCAGTTTAACTTCGTTCAATGGGGTGCCAGATTTATAGAGCCTTCCAGGTGAAAACCCGGCTAAAACTCACCGTAAACAGGGCTTAATATGTAGCGAAAAAACACCCAATCTGGCAACACAAGCCACCAGTGTCGCACCGCGGCCGCCGTCGACAAAGGCGTCGTATGATAATTTAAACGGATTTTATAACGAGGTCGGTGAAAATGGGAAAAATCTTACATTTCTGTGCAAACTTTGAACTGAACTAGTTCATTTTAAAATGTGTGAACTGAACTTTGAACTAGTTCATGTAGAAAGTGAACTTCCCCAAGACTGGTTGCCACTCCCACGTGACCTGCTGATAGGTGATGTCAACTTTTTCATTGGTGTCATGACAGCGCAGCTTCTCGTTCCGTGAACCTCTGGAGCTGTGAGTTTAGACTTTTTTCGACTTTTTTTTTTAAAAACTGTTCCTGTGGTGTTGAGGAACTATAATTCCTGTTAATCCTATAATTTTATATTTTTATTTATTTAAAGTGAATTAATTGTAATGAAAAAAAAATAAAATTAAATAGCTAAAGTAAATCGTAAGAAGTGCATCTGTCAATTCATTTAATGTTCAAAATATTCATCTTTATTTAGAAAAAAAAAAACACATTGGTTGGCCTATCATGAGCATATATCAGCAATTACACATGTTTAGGGAATAGGGCATTAATGTATGTAAGGTACAGTATGTGCTTTTTTTTTTTTTTTGAACAATTATTCATGTACAAACAGTAAGGCAATAGTAACAGTTCTAGATATGGGTAAACCACTATCAGAGTCTGCCCGTGGGGTGGGGGCACCGCCGCGCCAAGCAGTGTCCCACATTGTCCCTCAGAAACATACCCCTTGTCCCCCCTTGGGCTTATTAGCAGGTGGTCACCCTACCTTAAAATATTTTAACCTGAAGAATTCAATTAAAACGTGCTGATTTTGTCTGGAAATGCTCATCGTAACATTTTTATCCCACTATTTTGCTGCTCTGTAACTTAGGCCTTATCGTGATCTCAATAACATGCAAATGGTTGAAAATAGACTACCTTAACTTACTTCAAATGCTGGCTACAAACTAAATGACATGAACGTCAAATATTTTAAAATATAACGTTAAATCAGTGGCACCTTTCTAATCCTAACTTGCTATATAAATAGTTTAACGGGTACGGACCGTACGGACATGGTAGCCTAGATAGATGTACCTCATGTCATGAATATAAATTACGTTCCGTGACGAACGTCCAGAAGAAGCAATTTTGCCCCCGTCAATCTACTATGGCAAAGGCTTGGCTTATGAATATTAATTACATTACGTAACTGGATGCTCCAGAAAGATCATAGACGTATATGTCTATGCAGAAACATTACCAAGCGTCAGCGTGGACTTATTAATATTCATATGCTAAATCTTTGCAGCAGCCAACCCGACTCTGCTGAGGTCTGAAACAACAACAAGCCGAGCAGCCAATCAGAGAGAAGCGCCATGGTCACACTCGCTGTGTAAAAAGAAAGATCAGACCTGACGCAAACATGCCTGTAGTTCCCTGCGGAGAATCCGAGAACTCAGATAATACTCCCAAGAAAAGAAAGCGGGAGGACGTCGAGGGTTTTTCGGCGAAAAAGAAAGTGCGCTGGGGTATTTTGATTAGTCAAGGTGAGTTATAGAAATGTGCAAATGTGCCTTTTGCGCCCAGTGCAGTAATGCATTTGTATAGGGGCTACCTAACATGGCAAATAATATGATAAATATGAATAATCAATTATGATAAGTAATATAATAATTAATATGACATATTTGTAATATAGCCTGTTATGTTATTCTAATAATGTTAATATCAAATCATCATGAATATTGTTTTATATGTATGTATAGGCATTATATTAAAATTATTTAACAAACAATCAAACAAACAAAAAAAATATTAAGATAGGGATAGGAGTGCATAATTGCCATTTGCCACGAAGTGTCATTCATACACACCACACATGAAAACAGCAATGGAGGAGCAGAATGATGTGATATGGCATCATATTGGTAATGTTATTTACAGTGTTGGTGTTCTCTTCCAAAGCTATTGTGTATTGTATTGTATTGTATTGTATTGTGTTTGTCATATTGTGTAATAGGCCTAGTAGTTGTTAGTTAAATGTAAAACAATATAAAGATTTCATTGTTTTTTATTGCTGCACACAGCTACTGTGTGTTCAGTCATTCCTAGTGGGAGTTGGTGATATTTAAAGCCTCTTTGCAAGGGCATCAGAGTTCAAGTAAACAAATCACTCTGCGGACTCCTTCTGTATCATGTATAGGCTTTTACCCTAATGTGTAGTTGTTTGTTTATTTAGGGAGGGACTCCTTTATATTATTACAATACACCATAGAATTAAATAGGACTGTCTCCATGACAAACAGGGAAGTTACAACTAGTCCTAGTCTCCGTGGAGCTCAGCTGTAGTCACATGAACACAACAGGATCTGAAATATTCATGAAAGCTCTCAGAGAAAATCACAATAAAGACTGCTTGCAGTTAGTCAACCAGCATTCATACTGAGAACAGTGAGAAGTGCCCATCAGGCAACCCCTGTTTCTTGATTAGGAAAAAAAACCCCAAAAAACAGGGCTATATCACTAATGAAGTAGTTTTAACTCTTTAAGTGTACAGTCAAGAAAAAAAAATTGCATCATAAAAAAACAGCATCTAGTAGTCTAGTATCATTGTAACTGACTAAAGCACAGCTGTGACCTAAAGCTCCACGTCACTCTGGAATCTCAGTGGCAGCCAGAAACCCATCGCCTCCATCGCTAAGCTAAGCTAAAAAAGAGAATAGGCCTACGGCTACTTTTTGCACCCTGAGATGATAGGCGTCCTTTCATTTACAGGCTATGGCGTATACGTATCAATGGCTAGATGTGCCGTGGGGCGACGGAGACATGGGTACGTAACGGAACCTCTTGCTCGTTCTGTGCCAGCAATGACAGTTACAGAGGCAGCTTTCGTATGCTGTTGTGGCTAGATTTAGCTTATGCTAAATATAGATCTCTGAGTAGAGATCTCTGGTTGGAGCTGCTAGCACTGTGTATTACGGTATTAATAATTGTTCGGTTCTATACATTGGCCTACGATTATTGTTATATGATTACTAAATAGAAAATGTTCAAAGGCTGTGTTGTTGCTGCTACTGTGTTAAGGGGGCCTGTGGAAAATTTGAGAAAAAAATATTTATAAATTATTTAAGTGATATCTATGTCAACATTTAAATAAACATTTTATCTTTGAAAAGTGCTTCAAACAAATCTGTATTGAAAATCCACTATATGGAAAAAAAATCTAACTTGGAAAAAAATGGGATTGAGGAAGTTCAAACTTATGTTTAAGTTGCAAATAGGATGCAAACTGAACCTCTGTATAAAGATCTCATATACAAAGTAAATAATCCATTTCCTATCCATACTGAAAAAGAAAAAAAAAATAATAGCACAAACTAATTAGCACAAAATTACTGCTCCCTCAATTGATTGTTTTTGAAGAGTAACACTGACTTTGACACCGACACTGCTTCCTCTTGAACATGTAATGGAAGATTCATACTATCCAAAAGCCTTGCCATTTACTGGCCTGCAATGTTTAATGTTTGGAAGTCCGAGGCCTCCTCATCCAATGGGTTTGTGTGACTGGGATTTTGCCTTGTAGTTCCATATGAGAGAAAAGGTTATCTCAAGTTGTTTTAAAATAAATGGATCTTGCCTTTATTGCTTTTATTCCTCTATAATAATAAAGTAAGTCCAAAATCCAAATGTTCATTTTATGAAGTAAAATTCTTTCATTTTCATTTTGTATTACAGCAACACGTTCAAATGGCTCAGCAGTTGAAATGAATCACCTTTATTGTACAGTATATAGAGAGCTGATAATGCACACTCACAGGCTCTTCTCAACAGCTGTCAATGGCCAGTGTCAAAATCACATCACTCTCACTTTAGAATGTCTGGAAATTATATCAAGTCCAACTGTGGCTGAGTGGGTGTTTTTAAAGCTCTTGAATTTCATGGTAGTGCTTTTGCAAATGATGCAAATGATCATTGCTGTAAATAATGTAAATGTAGAATTGGATAATTGTTCATTCCAAATTTTTGGGCTTGTTTTGTAGTTTGTTTTTCTGAGAAGAAAGGGCGTTTATTAGTCATGGGAAATAATTGGGTGTCAGTTCATTGGCTTAAGAATATTTTGACTTACTGTATATTCATTCCCGTCTCAGGTTCATGGGCAGATCGTTCTCCACTCCATGAAGCTGCATGTCAGGGTCGACTCCTGGCTCTTAAGACTCTTCTCTCACAGGTTTACAAACATATACACACAATAATGGAACAGAAATTGTTTTAAAAAAAGATAAAGTTTGTAACTTTTTAAGGAAAAAAAATATATATATACATATTCCTGTTTTTCTTTTCCATAATACCAGGGTCACAATCCAAATATCATCACCATTGATCACGTGACTCCGCTACATGAAGCTTGTCTTGGAGATCATGTAGCATGTGCCAGAGCTCTCATAGAGGCCGGTGCCAATGTGAGTTACAGTCATTATACAGCATATACAGATTTTTGGGAAACAAAGTAATTATAATATATAATATATTTATTTATACAAAGTAAGTATATCATTTAAAACACATGACAACTTGCTCCAGTAAAAATCACAGCTGCCCTGATTATACATTTATGAAATACACACTTGTCCTGAGTACACAGTTCAGTCTTTTACTCAGTTGTATCTTCATTATCAATTGATCCTTGCTTGAATGTCTGCCAATGTGGTTTTATTGTGTTTGCTTGTTTACCCAACAGCTATAGCAAAAGTATGATAATAGTATTACTTAAAAAAAAAAAAAAATTAAAGTATAGAATTAATATTTTATACCCTAACCATAGGCTATAACCACTGAGATACAGTCCCTGTGATAACTTCTTGTGTGACAACTAACCCTAGCCTCCCCTAATTGTTGGTCACTACAGTGGACAGCTATTCAAACGAATAAAGGGTTTTGATGGCATAGTTGCACATCAACCACTAGAGTGGACACTAGTGCATCATCCTATACAGTGCCATCCTGTGGCAAGTCGTTGTATGTGGATTGTTCTCTTACGAGAGGTTCTCTCGTATTGCGTAAGCTAGCTTACGCTACGGGAAAGATTCATCTTTGCTGAGAAGTTGAAGCCAAAAAATTATTCCATAATTTTGTAAACATTGTCAACGCAGTCTCTTCTGAGGCAGACCATGAGCGGGCTAGCTAGCGGCTCATTGGTTCGCTCAGAGAGAATGCACGAACCTATGGGAGAGCGGCGCTGAGTCCGCGGCCAATGAGCGGACGGCGCTCGCTTACTGCGTCACAGCCCGCCAAAAGGGGCGTGGCTACAGTGTATAAAGGTCGCTCTCCCAGCTCGTTCGTTGATTCTTGTTCATTCAGCGAGCTACACGCATCCGCTGTTCTGGGAAGAAGCCGCCGTCGTTGAGAAGGCACCGTCTAGCGAGCTCCGGAGTCTGAGGAAGCCGGCCGTCTGCCACCTTCAGCCGCCCAGCAAGCTAGCGCCATCCGACGCGTATCCTTTCTTATTATTCCTGCTAAAAGAGCACGAGCGTCTTTTTAAAGATGCCTCGTAATTCCTGCGGCTCTTGCCGCTCTCCGCTCGAGGATGGAGACCGCCACCCCATCTGCGCTCTCTGCCTCGGAGTGGAACACGCAGAACTCGCCCTCGCCAACGGAGGATGCGACCACTGCGAGGACCTGCCGCTGTCAACCCTGCGGGCTCGACTACAGGCGGTCAAAACCGCTCCAGCGCCGCCTCTAACTTCGCCGCGGAAGAAGAAACGCCGCTCCCAGAGGCCGCCGGAGCCCTCTGCGGATCCATGTGGGCCGCCGCCGCCGCCCACCGACCGCTCTCCCTCTCCGCCCCTGCCGGACTTACAGTTGCCGCCGAGTGGCCGCTCTGTCGCCTCCGAGGACACCGCGGATGAGAAGGACTCTTGTTCGCTGCACGCTTCGGACAGCGAGGATTGGTCGTCGATCGGCTCATCGACTAGAGAGTCTGCGGGGACCCGCGCCGGCATCGAGGAGGAACTAACGCGCCTCCTTTCTCAGGCCGTTAGCCGCCTGGGTCTCGAGTGGTCTCCTCCCCCTGAGCAACCACCGAACCGCATGGATGGAAAGTTCCTGCACCGGCGCCCGGCCCCCGCTTGCAGCCGGGCTGCACCCTTCCTGCCTGAGCTTCACAGCGAGCTCACGAAGTCCTGGAATGCTCCTCTCTCGGCTCGTAATCGCTCTGATGTGTCCGCTTCGCTGCGCTCAGTGGACGGAGCTGCCGAGAAGGGTTATACTGCCATGCCGCCCGTCGAGGACTCGGTCGCCGCTCATCTCTGCCCGCCCTCTGCTAGATGGCGGTCTGCTCATACGCTTCCCTCAAAAGCGTGCAGAGCGACCTCCAACTTTCATGCCCGCGCCTATTCCGCCGCCGGTCAGGCCGCTTCAGCGCTGCATTCGATGTCTGTCCTCCAGGTGCTCCAGAGCGACATCTTGTGTGAAATGGCGAGCAGCGGGAGGCAACCGCTCGTCCTTTCGGATCTAAGAAGCGCTACGGATCTTTCCCTTCGCGCCACTAAAGCCGCCGCACAAGCTCTAGGGAGATGCATGGCCGCCCTCTGTGTCGCCGAGAGACACTTATGGCTCACGCTGACCGACATGGGAGAGTCAGAACGTGCCGCGTTCCTCAACGCGCCTATTTCCCCCACCGGGCTCTTCGGATCCGCCGTCACGGGCATCGTTGACCGCTTCTCCGAAGTTCAAAAAGCGACTCAGGCCATGAACTTGTTCCTGCCCCGCCGCTCGAGTTCTTCGACGGGCCGTTCTCACGAGCCGCCTGCCAGAACCACACAGCAGCGCCCGCCTCAGCAAGCTCAGCAGCCCCAGCGTAGACAGGGCGGCCGCCCTCGCTCTCGCTCAGACAGCCGCCGCAGACAGCCTCCGCCCCGGGGGCCTCGACCCAAGATCACGCTGAAGCCTGATCAACAGAAGTCTGCCTAGCACAGCTGAGAAAAAGACGGTTTTCTCCCGCTGCGGCCGGACCGCCGTCAAAGCTTCGCCCACTGTTAGTCCCCGTCTCACCGCTGACTACAGTAGTGTTTACCGCCACAAACAAGCCGGTTTCCCTGCCCGCTTGCGAGCGACTAAAAGCCGTTTTCACGGCTACCCAGAGAGTTCACAAAAAGAGCATAAAAGCCTCAAGTGTAAAAAATGTGCCCACAACCTGTGCTCACGTACACACACAAGCACTTTATGCCCAGGGTCTCTCGCAGAGCCCATTCTCACGGAGCGTGCACTTTCCGCTCCAGCAGCAGAGAACATAAGCACGCCCACGAGCCCGTGCGCGTGTCCCCCCTCTGCCCGCTCTGTCTCAAGGCCCTTAAACTCCTCTCTGAGTGTAAGTCCCGTTGCCTTCCACATTATAAGCGAGCCCACACCCAGTGTCCAGCCCGCAATGTGCAGCAATCAGGGCGAAATCGCCATTCAACCACTAGCCGTATGCTACAAAGCGTGGGAAGCCATCCCCGGCATCTCCCCGTGGGTTTTAAGCATAATAAAGAATGGTTATCGATTACAGTTTCGTCGCCGCCCGCCACGCTCGCGCGTGCGGCTCGAATCCACTGTCAGCCCGGCTGCTATGAACACGCTTCGCTTAGAAATAGCCAAGCTACTGCAGAAGGGCGCTATAGAGAGAGTCCCGCCATCTATGACCGAGTCGGGGTTTTACGGCCGTTATTTTCTGGTCCCCAAGAAAGACGGCGGCCTCAGGCCGATCTTAGATCTCAGGGCTTTGAACAAAGCGCTCATGAAGAGACCGTTCAAAATGCTCACAGTCAGGAAACTCCTCGCGCACGTCCGCCAGGGGGACTGGTTCATCTCTCTAGACCTGAAAGACGCCTATTTTCAGATCCAGATAAACCCTCATCACAGGCCATTCCTACGTTTCGCCTTCGAGGGCCAAGTTTACCAGTATGCCGTTCTCCCGTTCGGCCTATCCTTAGCACCCCGTACGTTCACGAAGTGCATGGATACAGCGCTCGCCCCCCTGCGAAGTCAGGGGCTGCGCATACTGAATTATCTGGACGACTGGCTGATTCTAGCAGATTCCCAGACGGAGCTGCTGTCGCACCGCACAGTTCTCCTCAACCATCTGGAAGCGCTGGGACTCTCTGTCAACTGGACAAAGAGCTCTCTCCAGCCCAGTCAAACTATTTCGTTCCTCGGAATAGATTTGAACTCTATCACGATGACGGCTCGCTTATCCACACAGCGCGCGCGCCGTGTTCAGCGCCTAGCCGCCTCGTTTCAGATGGGTACCCTTACATCCCTGAAATCGCTTCAGAGGATGCTGGGTCATATGGCTTCAGCCTCCGCTGCGCTACAGCTGGGTCTCCTGCACATGCGCCCCCTTCAATTCTGGTTAAAGAGCCGCGTATCCCACCACGAGTGGACGACGGGCCGCCAGATGATCAGGATTACTCAGACTTGTATCACTGCACTGCAGCCATGGGCAGCAAGCGAGTGGTTTCAGAGGGGCGTTACTATGGGAACATTCTCTCGCCGGAAAGTCATCTCGACAGACGCATCCAACTCGGGTTGGGGAGCGGTTTGCGAGGGCTCACCGGCCGCCGGCCAGTGGTCGAGCCACGAGAGTTCCTTACACATAAACTGTCTGGAAATGATCGCGGTCGAGAACGCGCTGCTGTGCTTCCTCCCGCGCATAAACGGTCACCACGTCCTGATTCGCTCCGACAATATGGCCGTGGTATCATACATCAACCGTCAGGGCGGCGTCAGATCCAAGAATCTCTTTCATCTGACACGCCGCATCCTATTGTGGTCCCAGAGTCACCTGCTTTCGCTCAGAGCGACGCACGTGCCGGGCCATCTGAACGACGGTCCAGACAGGCTGTCCAGGAACCTGGTCTCCCCCGGAGAATGGTCCCTGCACACTCAAACAGTCCAAACACTGTGGCGCCTATTCGGCAGAGCGGAGATAGATCTTTTCGCGTCAGAAGAGAACGCTCACTGCCCAATATTCCTTTCAAAGAGCGAGGACGCGCTAGCCCAGGATTGGCCCCGCCGCCCGCTCTATGCTTTTCCCCCGATTTCTCTGCTACCGCAGGTCATTCAGAGAATCAGGGACTCACGCCACTCGGTGCTCCTCATAGCCCCGCGCTGGGAGAATCAGATTTGGTTCCCGGAGCTAACGCGGCTGTCACAGACAGCCCCGTGGCCCATTCCAATCAGAGCAGATCTCCTCACTCAAGCCCGCGGCTCGATCTGGCATCCCCATCCACAGCGCTGGGCGCTTCATGCATGGGTGACCAACGACTACGCGTCGAATTGCCAGAAGGGGTTTTGAACACGATCAAACACGCCAGAGCGGATTCTACCAGAAAGCTCTATGCTGCAAAATGGTCTGTGTTCTCCAAATGGTGCACCGACAAGAATTTGGACCCACGGACGTGCGAGGTTTCGTCTTTGCTAGTGTTCCTTCAGGAGATGCTGGATAAGGGCAGGTCCCCATCCACTCTTAAGGTTTACGTGGCAGCCGTCGCGGCGTTCGCTGAACCCCGGCGCGCCCAGTCTCTGGGCAAAGACGAGCTTATCATCCGCTTCCTCAGGGGAGCCAGAAGGATGAACCCCCCTCGCCCCCCTACGGTGCCGGTCTGGGATCTTTCTATAGTTCTAGAAGCTCTGAAAGCCCCACCGTTTGAACCACTTGAGTCCGTGGAGCTAAAATACCTCTCGTTAAAAACCGTTCTTCTGACGGCTCTCGCCTCAGTAAAACGTGTGGGGGACATTCACGCGCTGTCTTCGAGCGCCGCGTGCCTAGAGTTTGGACCGAGTGACTCCATAGTCATTCTAAAGCCTAGACACGGTTATGTTCCAAAAGCGATTGGTACCCCTTTCGGGCGCAAGTGATCTCTCTATCGGCGCTGCCGGCATCCGATAGCGAACGTGACGCTCACCGCCTCTGCCCGGTTCGGGCTATCAGAGTGTACACTACACGCGTGGCCGCGTTCAGACGCTCGGAGCAGCTGTTTGTGTCGTTCGGTGGCCGCACCAAGGGACTAGCCGCCTCGAAACAGACCCTATCCAGGTGGATAGTAGACGCGATTGCCTCTGCTTATGCCGCTAAAGACCTGCCTTGCCCTCTGGGCATCAGGGCTCATTCCACCAGAGGCATGGCCTCATCGTGGGCATGGTCCTGCGGGATTTCCATCCACGACATTTGTGTGGCTGCGGGATGGGCTTCCCCCTCCACCTTTGTCAGATTTTACAACTTGGAAGTTCCAGCCTTACAGGCTAAAATTCTGGCTGTCTAGTACTCACAGCCCTCCTATAGAAGCCGCACTATCGGGAGTTCCATCACAACCGTTTCACCCCTTGTGTTCCCCTATGTGCTTATGCATTAGCCTTCACATCACGGCCCGCCTTCGCCGGCCGCCTTGGGCGTTTTTGCACTAGATAGTAACGGCCGCTATCTGGCCGCCGTATTATCTTCATCCACTTATAGATTCCCCCGGTGTTCCCCTGGGATGCTTAGTGGTTACTTAGCGCGCACGGCGTTGACCAGGTGTTCCCGTAGCGTAAGCTAGCTTACGCAATACGAGAGAACCTCTCGTAAGAGAACGAATCGGTTACCTAACGTAACCTCGGTTCTCTCTAGATGAGGGAACGAGTATTGCGTTCCCGGCCGTGCTTGCGCCACCAGCGTTTCGCTTCATGCTACAGAATCAACGAACGAGCTGGGAGAGCGACCTTTATACACTGTAGCCACGCCCCTTTTGGCGGGCTGTGACGCAGTAAGCGAGCGCCGTCCGCTCATTGGCCGCGGACTCAGCGCCGCTCTCCCATAGGTTCGTGCATTCTCTCTGAGCGAACCAATGAGCCGCTAGCTAGCCCGCTCATGGTCTGCCTCAGAAGAGACTGCGTTGACAATGTTTACAAAATTATGGAATAATTTTTTGGCTTCAACTTCTCAGCAAAGATGAATCTTTCCCGTAGCGTAAGCTAGCTTACGCAATACTCGTTCCCTCATCTAGAGAGAACCGAGGTTACGTTAGGTAACCGATTCGTTTTTCTCCAAACCAAGATGACCGACAGACAGTCAGAAATTCTCTGGAAGTTGCTCTGGAATATCCATCCATTCCTTCTATCCTAGGAGACTCTCGCAGGTAAAAAAAAAAAATAATAATAAAAACTAAATACTTGAAAATACTTCATCTGCAGTAACTGTTTTGGCTGTAAATCTTGTGAATAAAAAAACCCAAACAAATAAAGTCTTATTATTACTACTTAAACGTGGAAGCCAAAAACATAGATATTATTTATTTTCTTTAGGCAATATACAACATCACTCAGTATTACAACTACTACACATTTCCTGGTGGTAAATGTAATGTTGTAAATGAGATCTACCTGTCGCTACATTCCCTACTTAGCCGTTAAAAAAAAATATCAAGGTAAAATCTAAGTAGTGTAAAGTATAGTTTAGTGTAAAATATGTTGAGGATTAGTAAACAGGCTGTCGATTCATTAAATTATAAGACATTTCCCCACAAAAGCTTTTTATTCACCGTATTGAAGCCTCTCCTCCATTGATGCACATTAAAAAAAAAAAAAAATGTAACAATACTAAACTTTTATTGAAGTAAAATCATCGAAAGTGGATAATCACCCATCCCCCACCCCCACTTTCGATTATTTTACTTCAATGAAAAGTTAGATTTTTGCAAATTTGAATGAAAGATCAGATAAACAATGCAGATTTACTTTTACAGCCATATTTGATCATGATCATATTTACCAGGGGTGAAAATAATTCTGACCTCAACTTTGATCACGTCCTCATCTTCTGATATCAAAGACACTTAAAGATAGTTCAGATAGTGTTTATTAACACAAAGATAGTTCAAGTTGTCTGAAGTTCTTCTCCATCTGCTGGTCAAACCGGAACAAACTCGACTGCATTTCCAATAATTGAAGCTTTACTATATTTTTGGAATATTTTATTGTTTTCACATGATTTTATATAATTTTATTCATTGGTTTGTTAAATGTACAGTATTACTGTGTTATTACTTTATTATGTTTTATACAGTATCTCTTCAGTTAAAAGCAAAAACACAAACTGTCCACTCAAGTCTTATTTTTTTTGGATAAAATCTAAAAAAAAAGAAAAAAGAAAAAAAAAAAAGAATGTCAAATCTTGTGTTCCATGTCTGAGCAATAAAAACACAAAGAAAGAAAAAAAAAAGAAAATCCTGACCGAGGTTGTCAATTCATGCATGAAATAGAGGTAGACTGCTCAGATTGATTAGTTTGTGCGGATTGTGCTGTTAGCATGTTCTTGTGCATGGCAGGTAAAAGCCACGACCATTGACGGTGTGACCCCGCTGTTTAACGCCTGCTCGTCAGGAAGTTTCACCTGTACAGAGGTGCTTTTGGAACATGGAGCAAAACCACAGGCAGAAGCTTGCCAACCTTCACCCATTCACGAGGCATCGAGCAAAGGTAATCAAGTAGTTCTGCTTTAGTCTAACCATAAAAAATCCATTGATTTGAATGCACAGCATTTATAGCAGACTTTACAAAAATAGATGTGTTGCTGTTTCAGGTAGGGCAGCATGTATAGAGGCTCTCATCTCGTGGGGAGCAGATGTAGATTACGACATCCCCCATCTAGGAACACCTCTCTACATTGCCTGTGTCTCCCAACAGCTCCAGTGTACACAGAAACTTCTGGATGGAGGTGAGCTCATCAGAATACTGCCCAAACCAAACAAAAAGAAATATATATATATATTGTTCGGTGTATTTTGGCGTGCTTAGGTCGGGTCTTCTCACCATTAGTTCTGGTCTTGTTTATTTGACCACAAAAAGGATCTGTTTTTCATAGGAGCCAATGTGCAGAAGGGCCGTTTCCTAGACACTCCACTACACGCTGCAGCTCAGAAGGACTGTCCAGATATCATCAGACTGCTACTAGAGTTTGGCGCTAACATCAACGCTCGCAACATGGAGCTGCAAAGGCCGGTGGAGACAGCGCCACCCAGCAGTACGGCAGAGTCTACGCTCCTTCTGTATGAAGGCAAGGCTGCTCAGTTGATTTTGATACCTTTTGGTTGTTTTTCTAGTCATGAAGTTCAGAAGAATCATGCCCATTTTCAATTTAATTATTGGCTTTATTAACAGAGACTTAACGGGAAAGAGATAGGGAATGGGTTCAAGACATGATCATAGTGGCTTGAACCTGGGTCCTCTGTGAAATTTGAATGCAACTTTTAAAAAATGCTATCTTTGATAAAGTTGCATGATTAGGTTTGACTAAAATATTGTTTGGTGCAGAACCCATTCACATTCTAAATTGAGTTAATCCAAAGTTTTATCTTCCTTATCTACAGTACCTTATACGGTTGCAATTGAAATTATTTAACCCCCTTTGCAAATCAGGTTTATTGGCAACATGTACAGACTTTTAGCTTTTTGCAATGAACAAATCAAACTAAATTAATTTAAATAGGTCAACACAACAAATGTCTCAAGTGGTTCTCCCAAATTCAACTGAAAATGCAACTTTGAATGACTTATGCAGTCTCAAAATTGTTCAAGTCCCTGAATAGAACAGGTGTTGTCTCAAGTACACCTTATTAAACTAATCAAGAGATTTTTCATAAAAATGGGATTTTGCTAACTTTCCCCTATCTTTTCCTGGATAGCCACGCCACAGTCTCTGTGTCAGCTGTGTAGACTGAGTATCCGAAACTATATGGGCCGATCCAGACTGCACCTGATTCCTCACCTCAAACTGCCTTCTCTGCTCAAGAGTTTCCTCCAGTACAGATAGACTCTCAACCTTACTCCACAAAGCCCCTCCTCCCTTTATTTTCTTATATTAAATGCATTAATATACAAATAAGGTCATTACATTTTGTTTGTGACCACCAACGCACAGAAAACACTATCACAATAGCCATTCATTTAACTTAATTTAAGTTCAAATGTTTATTTTTAAATAATTATATTTTTGTGCAACTAATGCAACACAAGTTGAGTATTTTTATATAATCACAGTAGTGTAAATTTATCAGTTGTAACCTGCACTATATAAGCTGCATGCCTAATATGATACATATATCTCATCAGGGTGAAATCATTAAAGTGCATGTCAGTATAATGAATTTTTAATTTGTTATCACACTAATGTAAAAAAAAATTAGAGGATAACTGTTTAGAATTCACTAAATATTATGCTATCAATATTTTCACAGCTTCCCAAGCTGCATCATGAACTCTTTAGAAAATACAAAATAAAATCGCTGGAAAATTGCTGATTCAATGTAATGCAGTACTTATGCTAAACATTTTGGTGCCAAAACAAAGCATGATAAGATATGTAACTTATAAATAAATAAAAATATGTAAAATGTGTCTCATTGGTCTCCCTTTTTTTTGCATTGCAGTTAATACTGTATTTGAATCATGTTCAATGTAGTGCAATACTCATAAGCAGAAATAGAATAATAAGATTTCCTGTACACTTGATCTTTTTAATAGCAATTATCAAATCATAGTCACAAAAAAGAAAGTCATTGCCTGTTCTTACATATCTTGCACTTCTATGATATCATCAGTCAAAATAAATAGATGAGACACTTGAAACATGCAGAATTTGAACAGGTCCTAGCTTCATGACTCAACTCCAGGATCGATATATATATACCTGTTTAACTGTCCTCAGTTGCGTATGAACAGTGATCATATTAATATGTTATGTACACCCATTTAAACTTGGATTTAGACGTAAATTCTACAACAAAACTATATACAAATAAATACATTTCACAGTGCATTTCACATTTGATGAAAATAGTCTCTGTATCTGTTTTTTTAACATAAAACTTACATTCCATTTTATATACTCAGCTATGCGTGACAACCATTGCAACTGATGATTTTAGCAATACATGACACTTTTTGTCTTTTATTTCCTAACTTCAGAAATACACTCCAAATCTATAGCTGTGTATGTCAGCATAAATATCTTACATCCTCACTTCAAATGTGCACTTACTCAGACGTATTGCCTAAGTTCATCTAAACAGATTTTGAATGTAACAGCAAGATTTAATTTATAATAACCCTTCGTAAATAATGTTGCCATAGTTTATGAACATAAATATTACACCACTGGCCCCAGAACTGCTCTGTAAACTATTCATGTTAGTTACTGAATGAAATGAAGAAACATTACAGTAAATAGTATTGTTACAATGTAAGGTTTTAAACTGTTAATTCTCTTATTTGGTTCTACTAAAATAAGGTGTACTGTATATTCAGTAGTCAGCAAATATATTCAGTCCATATATAACAGACATGAAAAACGGTTTCAGTGTCAAAGCAGCAAAACTAACACATCTCTTTTCATAAAATCAGATGAATGCCTTATACTCAAGTCTTGAAATAAATGTTACAAAACATTCAGTCTGCTTAATGCAATTGTTTATACTCCATAATACCACTGACAATGCCACATAAACCAACTAGATTTACAATCTTTGCGCTATAGGCCACAACCCTAAGACCTGGACATAACACCTAAACCCGAATACCTGACCCTGCTTGTGATTTAGGATGAGCAAGAAAGGCATTAAATTACCTGCTTCATGTGTAACATTCATCACTGTATCCAGCATAAATCTCCCTTTATAGAGATTTAAAGCAACAATAAGTAAGGATTTTTATTAAAATAATGTTTTCAAATGTTGAAAACATTATTTTAATGTTTTATTAAAATAATGTTTTCAAAATCGTTTGTGGTTCATCAAGTCGTGACATGGTGAAATGCACTAATGCCACCACTTTGCGGTCCTTCTGATATATCCATGCTATGTAAGATTGGCCGATATCAATTTGACTTGCTTTACGGCAAGCATTACAATTGCTGATAGGTGGAGGGTACTCGACAGTACAACTACACTTTCATAAAATCATGCATCATACTCTACCTTGTCTGTGGCCATATTTGATTCCAAAGCCGGTGCTGGATAGGTTAAATTATTTACGACATTTGTAATCGACAATTCCGCTTCCAACCAGTAGGGTGACCACAGAGGAAAAGTCACTTGGTGTTGCTTTAACAGGTAGTTCTGGTGCTCTAATTTTCATCTTACTTCTCTTGCCTTTGATAGTAGTACATCAGTCTGTGCATTTCTTGTCGACATGTGTACACATCAGACTTGCATTTGTCCTGTGAATCTGACTTGTGTGCTTGTGTACTTTATAATCACTACAGCAGCATTTTGCTGTGATTCTTTGCATATGAACTGCAACCCTGAATGTAATAAGCACAGCATGGAATGACAAAACTTGACTAAAAAAGGATTTGAACAATCAGGCATTCTGCTGTTTTATGACATATACTTTCTGATGAAAAAAAAACAAAAACAGGAATGTTGTCCCCTTTCCAAACGCTGCTATTACATAGCCAGACCAGCCAAAATACTGCTAACATTTGTTGTATTTGTGCTCAGAAGGGGTTGAGGCGTATACCCGTCCCTAATGGAGAGAAAGGGTTCACTTTCGCCCACATCAGGGCATCATTTAGTGAAATGGCTGATTTGCCATCTTCCAGGAAGAACGCTGGACCCTGCCAAGCAAAAAAAAAGGCAGATGTAACTGTTCTTTTTGCAGCAGTACAGGCAGATACACAAAGACATTAAGGTATGGTGCTAAAATGCAAGTCTACCCACAAGAAACCCACCTGTATCCTGAGGCCAGTAAAGCAGGAAATCTGGACGTCAGAGTGGCTGGGCAAGTTGGAGCCAGTGACATAGTCAGGACCCTCTAGGCCCTTGATGGGGTCCTCTCTCATCCGACTCAACAGCTGATTATACTCCGTTTTCTGGGCCTCAGATGGTGGCGCGTATGAGGTGTCATCTGCCTCTCTGTGTATGCATAGAGAGAGTGCAAACAATAGATTATTTTCCAAAAATATTCAGTTGTCAGCAGAAATGTTAGATCTTTTGTAAAACCTAGTGGGCTGTCTTGTGAATACAAGCTTGCAGGGGCGGGGTTTAAGCTGACTTAAAAATTGGAGAAGTCCTGCGTACGTCTGTCCTCATCACTAGAACTAGACACTAGTTACGACTGATTAAAAATTACGGGTCAAGAAAAAAAGAAACATACACAGAGGAATCGTTCACAATAAGACCTATACCATGCATTTAGAAAATAGACACACTGTAAAAAAAATTATATTTTCAAGATTTGTTATCACAACATATTTTCTTTTGTCAAATCAACTTAAATAATTTATTTAGTTGAGATAACTTATTATTTTGAGTTTCTTATGATTAAATTAACCTCCTTCATTGTATTAACTCACTTTTTCCGGGGGTTTTTTTGCCCAGTGATACAGAGCTGTTGTTTGTTATGAATTAGAGTTATGTGTTGTGGTGATGGGGTGGTGATGGGGCAGTGGATAAGACACATGCCTTTGGTGTGAGAGACCCAGGTTTGAATTCACTGTGAGACACCCTGGGCAAGACACTTAACCCCTAGTTGCTCCAGAGGCGTGCGACCTCTGACATATATAACAATTGTAAGTCGCTCTGGATAAAAGCGTCAGCTAAATGAATAAATGAAACTGTAAATGGTACAGACTTGAGGGATTGTGTGCAGGCTCTCCAGGCCTCCAACTCTACAGACAACTGCTCTATCTGCAGTGGTACAGCCACCTCTCTTCTCTTCAGCAGCTGACTGAGAGAGAGAGAGAGAGAGAGAGAGAGAGAGAGAGAGAGAGAGAGAGAGAGAGAGAGAGAGAGACTTACAGTATGAGACATTACTTGTGATCACCATAACTTGAGTTACTTGATATAAATCCCACAGTTACATACCTTGTGTATTCATACAGTGCTGGCACTATACTTGAATACTGTCTCCCAATGGCTAATAGTGCACCAATATACCCACAGAGAATAAGCAACTCATTACGGTCTCTAGCCAAAGACAGAGAGAGAGATAATGAGATGAACATAGAATGCAAGCTACAATAAATTACATAAATGACAGGTATTTTGAGGGAACATCATTGACTTACTCACTACACTTTGGAAGAATAAGACTGTCTGTTCTGATGTAGCTCAGCAGGTCTAGGATGTGGTACACTGAGTCCACTGCCCAGTCAGGAGAGCTCAGCTGCTCTATGAGGGGAGAGAGAGTAAGTAATACAATTTTGGTCAAATTACACATCACACACAATATCCCTCATTTAAATAATTCCCATCCAAGGCAAATACGAAATAAAGGGTCAAGGCCTGGTTATTTTGTGTTAGTAGTGTTTTGAAACTCGCAGTTATGGTAAGGGGCGTGACATTTCCGAAACTGGACGCGTTAACCAATCACAACACTTGACTAGCTGACCTTTTCAGAAGGAGGGGCTTCATAGAGATGGTCACTAAAGAGGGGTGCATTTCCCAAAAGCATCGTTAGCCAACTATGTTCACAAGTTGCTTGTGGATTCAAGTTTGACAAGCTTGCATTTTAAGTTAAGCGTATAGCATTAACATTACATAACATTTATCTTGAAATTGGTTAGTTTGTCTAACTTGTGTTTCAATTTGTTTAGCAAACAGAGTCTACTTTTACAACAAAATATAAAGTTCCCATACTTTGACAAAAAACACAAATTATTCAAGTGCATCATTAGGGAGTCCTCTTTCTATATTTAATCATTTAATCAACCTTTAAAAGTTTGCTTGAGAAAATGGAAGTATGCCTATATATACATTGTCTGCAGAATGTGGGCATGCTGGAAATGGCACTGGTTTGAGACATCAGAACCGAATCTCTCAGACACTCACCTTTGACAAATGTGATCCCGATGGGAAGAGCCTTTTCTGGTTCTGTGCTCAGGAGGTAATACTTTACTGCTTGGAAGGTTTCTCCCTCAGCATGTGTATTCTCAGCAAGCTCTTTACATTCTTCTAAAGTCGGTAGACCACACTGGGAAAAATAAAATATTAATAATGATTGAACTTAGATAAATAAACAAACAAATAAATAAATAAATGCAATTCTGCCTGTGCAGAAAAAAAAACAAAAACATTCACATAAAATAATAAACACTATTATGTTCTTGTTTGGACCTTCACACTCAATATTATAACTATTTTTCATTAGATTGTTGAATGTTGTTGAGCAAATGGCTACAATTCATTCTTAAATTAATGGGAACTAATAACATTTTAATCGATTTAAGACTAATATGCAGCATTGAGACATATGAATGAGGTAGTCACCTTTTCATGCAGGTCGTTAATTTCGGCTGAGCTGCCAGGGTAGAAGGCACACAGTTTGGCTAACAAGATCTCATTATCAGGGATCATCTTAAGTAAACTGGCTGCAAGATCCCTGGAGAGTAATGCAACATGAGTTAAATAATAGGACAAGTGGATAAATATTTTATTGGTTCTTTTGAAAACAAAGTGAATTTTTGATATATATATATATATATATATATTTGAAAGAAACGTCTCTGTAACCCTTCTTCCATGAGTAGGGAACAAGACACTGCATCGACTACGACACTTTGGGGAACGCACTTAGTGTAACGCATCTGAAGTATGAATTAAACTAATCCAATCCTGATTGGTGTTGCGTCATGACGTAACATGTGACGGCATACACGGAAGCTACAAAGGGACGCCGGCACACAACAGAGGCCACGTTTAGCCGGGTATTTAGCAAAACGAATATTTTCCCCCTCTCCGTTTTCAAAAATAACATCGTTCACACACCCGCATAAATACGCTGTCGAGCACCATCATAATAATGCCAAACCTATTGGCGGCAGTGTAGGGGTTAAGGATAAAGCCATGCAAGCCAATCAGGATCCTCAGAATCGACAAGAGAGAACCTAAAACGCCGTTTCTCCCAGTTCACATGACAACACATAACCGGCGTTTTCAGAAATCTCCACTCTGGCTTTGAGTTTTTAGAAATAATCGTTTTCATTGATAAAAACGGGGTTTTTGTGTAAACGACAGGCCAATTCGCAGGGAAATATCTGCGTTTTTCCTTCGTGTAAACGGGGCTAGAGTTAGCTTCTGCGATGAAACAAGTTGCTCCTAGTACCCACTATGCCACAACGAGCCCTGCCTGTCCCAGTGTGAAGTTGCGCACTGGCACACTTAGTACAAGAGCACTAGAGTGCCTGCCGTAGAATAAATGTCTAGGCTATAGAATCTGATAAAAGTATGAGGTGTAGCCCATCCTTTTGCATCGCACACTTCTTGGATTGGGGCCCCTGAAAGGAGGGCCCTAGAGGACGCCATGACTGAATGAGCCCTCGCGGCTAAAGGTGAAGGCAAGCTGCGCACCTGATAGACCATAGAGATAGCCTGAACGACCCAGTTACTGATGGTCAGTTTGGATGTGGGAAGCCCCTTCTTGGGCGACCCGAAGCACACCAGCAACTGAACTGACTTCTGCCGTGAAGAAGACCTATGGACACATATTTTGAGAGCTCTGACAGGGAAGAGCAAATTAAGTCTTTCTTTATCCGCCATCACGTGAGGTGGAGGATGAAACCCTGTAGAACCGTAGGCCGTGCCACATTAGATGGCACTTTAGGCACATAGCCCGGCCTGGGATGCAAGATAGACTTAATGTTGCCTGGAGCAAATTTCAGCCGCTATATCACCCACCCGTGTGATATAGAGAGTGTCTGAAGGTCTCCCACTCTCCTCAGAGAAGTAATGGCTAATAAAAAAGCTACCTTGAGGGAAGGTTCTTGGGCTCAACCGACTCCAGAGTTTCGAAGGGGGCCTCGACCAGCCATTTGTGAAACACTGCCAGGTCCCATGTGGGAACTCAGGGGCCCATCACCCAGAGGAGCGTGGAAAGCCGCAATGGCAGGACGCAACATACACCTTGAGTGTGGACGGGGTAAGACGAGCCGATAAGTGATCTTGGAGGAACTCCAGCACGTAAGCCAACCAGCTAGTTAATTGAGTCCACCTTACGCTCTCTAGATCAAGTGGAAACACTTTCCTCTTTAGGCCGTGCAATGTCCTCCTGAAAGGAGCTCTGGAAACGAGTACGGTCTCAACCACTCCAGCCAACAGGCCAGCCTCTAGGGGCCAGGCCCAAAGCTTCAACTGGTTTGGTTGAGGGTGCTTAATATTGACCTGCGGCCTGTGGAAGTAGGTCCCTCCTCAGAGGGATCTGTCAAGGCTGGCATGCCAGAAGTGCTATGATGTCTGAAAACCATACTCAGGTCGGCCAGTACGGGGCTACTAGAAGTAGGCTAATCCTGTCTCGACGGACCCTCTCCAGAACTCCCGGGAGCAGAGCAATCAGGGGAAAAGAGTACAAGCGTAGACTCGACCACATCTGTACCATGGGATCCAATGATCCAATGAATTGATTTACAAGTCAGACTGAGTTTTGTTTTGTTCTTTTTATTCATTTGGCTTCACTAATTACGTCCCTTTCTTCTCTTGGGATATTTGGGTAAATTTGTTTATATTCACCATAATTAGTATTAACATTATTCATCTTTTGTATACTTAATTCACTTATGTATAATAAATTATTTGTCTTTTGCATTATTTCGTTACATGTTGTCTCTTGCCACCTTACTCAACAACCTCAATGTTACCATTTCTGGCCCTAGGTCATAAGAGTTCGTAACTTTATTATTATAGCTTCACGGCGTGTGTGCACTCCAGTTACGTCACCGCCTGAGGCTATAAAAGTTCTGTGTCAATATCACTGATGTGTTGCACATATATTCACAGCTGGTCACATTAAAGACTTTCCCAATGCGCTGACCAGCGCAGCATCTCGTTCTGCTTTTCAGGGAACAGGGTTACAGTCAAGTAACCCGAGACGTTATGAATAAGCATTAAGCACATGGGAGGCAGAAAAGGGAGGCAGAGAAAATACCTGTATGCCACAGATGGAAAGCTAGAGAGAAATGGAAATGAAAGATGTAACAAGTGTGCAGTAAGGATGACTGACTATCAGGATCATGTTAACACTTCTGTGCATGACTGATGATATAAGATGGGTTGCATTTGCAGCAAAGTGTGCAAACAATGTGAAAGGAAATGTGATTCAAAGTTACATATTTGGTCATTTCCATTTTTAAACTTGCAAAGATGCATTGATCAGTTGTATGCTTACCAGGTGGCAGTGGTCATGTATTTCCTGGCCAAGAGCTCCAAAACGTAGTGGGTGGCTTTACAGGCTGATTCTCCCAGGACTGTGCCCACACACACTGCCAGCTCCAGCTCATTGCCTCTGATCAGAGATGCCATAGCCAGCTGACACAAGGAGATAAAAAATCCTTATCTAAACACTCATAGAACATCATACATCACTTGCCTAAGAAAATAATACATTCAGTTCTCATTACTATAAAGTCAAAGAAGTATTTTTACCTCACGGTAGTACTTTTTGTACTACCTTTAATTTATACTGTCTGACATATGCACTAACATTCAAAAGTTTGGGGTCAGTAATGCCTTTTTATTTTTTTTATTTCTTTTATTTAGCCAGGACACACCAAACTGATCAAAAGTGACAACAAATACTTCTACATGGTTGCAATGAAAATCTATTAAAAAAAAGAACTTGCAAAAACTTGTAAACTTGCAAAAAAACTTGAAAAAAAAATCACAAAAATATTGAGCAGCACAACCGTTTCCAACATTACCAATAATGGGAAATGTTTCCTAAGTAGCAAATCAGCATATTAGAATCCTTTGTAAAGGATCATGTGACTGACTGGAGTAATGATGCTGAAAATTCAGATTTGCCATTAAAATATAAGTCAAAACTTTTAAAAAGCAGAGTAACTTTCTTGAAAATAATAAAAATAATAATATTTTATATTAAATTGTCCAAGAATAGGCTTATCGTGTTATTTATTGTCTAAACATTGACATAATATTGTTAGAGGTTGGTCTGATTTTAAATGCTGCTATTGATGTTCGATCAAATCTCTCCTTATTGTGAGCTTACTTCTGTGTTGTCTACAGCTAGATGACAGCAAGCTGCCAACACAGCACGGCCATCTTGGAAATACCACTCAGCCAGCTCTTTACATACTCTGTGCAACATCCTAGACAGAGGAGGGGAGAATGGGTAAGAAAAAGAGAGGTGAAACACTTGATTTCGGCTTAAACTTAACTAAGTATAACTTACCCGTAGTATTTTTCTATGTTGTCATTGTCAGAGTTTACGGCATGGTTTATAGATGTGATCTCAGGGCCATGGATGTTGCCTTCACAAGCACCCTGATAAAACAAAGTGCATTCTCATTTATAGGGCCAGATTTTTGCGTGGCGCCAATGCAAACCCTCCTTTGGCGTTAAACTACTGTCACGATTTACTTAGGACACAGTGAAAAATTAGCGCTGGAATGGCATAGACAGTTATTTTTTGCATGATTCACTTTAAATGAATCATGCAAAGTGATTTACTAAGGTTTGCACTAATCTATTTACTCGTATTGGCCTAATTATTTGCTACATAAAAAAAAAAAATTGTCTTGAACCAGATGGTAATTTGCGCTGCTCCTGGTAGATTGTGTTGGTCATTATGGAAATGATCCGGCTTTGTCTGTTATTGGATGCTCTTATCGGCACTAATTTGCCCTGTTTAATAAATCTGTCCGGTAGTCTCATTTATTATGAAACTCAACACAGAGGTTCACGGTTTCACAACAACTCTCTAAATGGGTAAAACGATAACAGTGCCCTGTACCTGAGCCACCAGCACAGCTTCCTTCAGCTGACCTCTAGAGGTGAAGAAATTCACTAGCTTTTTCACCTCACCAGTGGCGATGCAGTATGGGATGACATCATCATTGCCTTCTTGCATGAGCTGGTCTGCTCTCCTACATTGAGCAGTTAATAAATAGTGAAAAACTCACAACATCGGATTTACAAATGCAGAGAAGTATATGAGATACCTTTGCATGAGCTTTTTCCAGTATTTCATGGAGACACCAGGAGCCACAGAAAGAGCCTTCTCCCACTAAATACATAAAACAAAGCAACATAAACATACACAATCATCAGAACATCACATTTCTGAAAGAAAAAAAGACGGCCCTTCTATTTTTCCATACTGTATGTATGTATGTATGTTTTTTTTTTTTTTTTTTAAGAAATCAATAATTTCATTCAGCAAGGATCCATTAAATAGATCAAAGTAACAGTAATGACATATATGATGATTTACATTTCAAATAAATTAAGGGGTTTTTTTTTATTTAATCAAAGAATTTTGAATATATTGTATCACTATTTATTTAAACAGCACAACTGTTGTTATAATAATGAGACATTTATCTTGAGCACCAAATCAGTATTATAATGATTTATAAAGATCAAGTGACTGAATACTGGAGAAATAGTTACAGAAAATTCTGTTTATTTTTTAATATTATTATGAATAGAGACTTTATTCAAAAACATTAAAAGTGCTTACTGAACCTTTGAACATTGAAATTATTAGGGTTAGTTTAACGTGTTTACTATGTTACTTACTGTAAGTGTGATTAAGTATAAAGCAGAAAGCTTTATAATGAAATAAAAAGCTCTAAAAAGCTCATCCATCCATCATAAAAGTAATCCATATGACTCTAGTGGCTTGATAAATGCCTTCTGAAGTGAAGCGGTGGGTTTTTGCAAGATATTTAGCAAAAATATTCATATTTAAAATTGTAAACTTTAATCACTAACGGCCATACAAGTGTTCATAGAAGAGTCGAGTTCTGGCAGAAGAGTGATCGTAGGTGAGAATTGATGAACACGGAAGCGTAGAGGATAGAGCAAAACAAAATGCAGGTCATGAATTAGAACTTTTTTCTAATTTCAACTGGAAGTTTAAAAGAAACATGTAAGACAATTTTTATATAAAAGAAGAGGAGCTACGTCATACATTGGGCCAGAGGTCACTTGCCTTGACTCTGTTGCCAGAAACCAGTGATTATAGTTTATATATGGATATTTTTCTTGCAAAAACCCATCGCTTCACTTCACAAGCAACTGGAGTCATATGGATTATTTTTTTGATGAATGTATGCACTTTTTGTAGCTTCAAAAACTTCTATTCAATGCTATTACAAAGCTGGGAAGAGCCAGTATATTATTTATTAAAACTCCGTCTCCGATTGTGTTCAGTTGAAAGAAGAAAGTCATATAAAACTAGGATGGCTTGAGGGTGAGTAAATTATTGGATAATTTTCATTTTTGGTTGAACTATGGCTTTAAACTCAGCAATCAAATATAATCAGCAAATATTGATATGTGATTAATTAGATTACTTAATCAGCTTATTATGTCATTGACTAATTATATAAACATTTTAAAATATATATTGACAATCCAAGAAATGGTATATATATATATATATATATATATATATATATATATATATATATATATAACTAATTATATAAACATTTTAAAATATATATTGACAATCCAAGAAATGGAATATATATATATATATATATATATAATAATTATATAAACATTTTAAAATATATATTGACAATCCAAGAAATGGTATATATATATATATATATATATATATATCTTTTCAGAAAATGACATTGCAAAAAAAAAAATGTAAATCTTATAGATTTTACCTCTCCCAGTTCCACCATAAGCTCACAGTATCTCTGGATTTGTCCCAGTCTGATATGGATTTCTGCTGCATTCTTGAGCCTTTCCTCTTTGCTAGGGGCTCCAATACCACCCCCAAACTTTGACATCTTTACTATGGTCAGCTCTTGTGCTTCAGACTATAAATAAGGGACACATGGTAAAATAATTACAAAAAGTAGATAAAAACTACAGTACAAGTATTGAAAACTTAATATGCATCAAAAGCCACTATTAGAACGTTACATCACAGTTTATTCACTCACGGTTTTGAAGCGAACCAGGTGTTTCATATGCATGATGCCCTGCCCATAGTTCTGTGGAAGAAGACTATCATCCTGTCCGTTGATTACAGCAACCAGATCCCACAGGTTATGACTCCCTCCAGGTGGCTACAAAGAAAGAGTACATAACCCCTTATTTAGACTTCTAATAAACTCCTGTGAGAGTTCTGTGTTGAGATTTACTTACTGAGAAACACTCAGAGAACCATCTGAGCTTCTTCATGCGCACGTCGCTGGAGAGTTTATCCAGCTCCTGTTTAATATCTCTGGACACTTTTCCACACAGGAGGGGATGGGCTCCAGGAACCATAGCGCGATCTGCACTCAAGAAATACATGCGGTTTAATGTCTTTACAAAACCAATCCATGCAAACAGTATATAATATTTGCTTGTGTTTTAACCTGTGCTGCCAATGATGTCATCCCAGCTGTGGTCAGTAAGGATGTTGACCACTAAGGGAGCAATTAGAGGAGTGAGTGACCAAAGTCTGACCGTGGAATCTCTGGAGCAGGAAGCCATGGTAAATGGACGGCTGGGGTGACACGTTAGACCTGGGGGATTTCATATGATTGACAAAGCTGCATAAACAATGTATTTATGTAATGACACAAAATGATGTCCCTACTACTGTGATACATTTTAATCAAAGACAGTCCTTGGACAAAAATAAGTGTTCCCATTACATATTTAGGTCTCTTAGCTCTGTGCAGGGTTCTGCTTTTCCTGCCTTCATTTACAGAACTTGAATCATTTAACTGTTTCTAGAAATCACAATGTTTAAAATGTAATCAATTAAATAAGCCATTTCATTGAAAAAAAGTGCATAAAGGATGACAGCATCATTGCCTGCAGCATATACATTTAATACACTACCATAGACATCAGCTCCATGGTCAAATACAGTGTCTAAACAGGTGCCATCTCTGGTGTCCCAGACACGGATGGTGTAGTCCCAGCTCCCTGAGGTCAAAAGGTACGGCACCTCTGTGTTCCACATGAGACCCCGAACTGGAGCAGTGTGGCCACTCAGCACGTTAATGCATGCATCTTGGGTATAATCCCAGATACGGACAGTCCTAGTCAACATACACACATATACACATCCATTTATGAAGTTAGAGGTACACTCAGTCATTTTTATGTTGTTTTGGGCACTGACACGTTTAGACAATTCCATGCACAAATTCACAGTTACTAGTGCCATAGTAGAAATGCCCTATTCACTGTCAGCCATGATTTATTTACTCTGCAAGTGAAGGTTTCTAAGAACAAGATGATATAAATTGGATGACCATGTGATCTCAACTCAGAGGCTCCCATTAGGTTGAGTTTATAGGCTAATTATATACAATTTATTGAACCTTTAAATTAAACAGTGAGATGTTTTCATCAGCACTAAAGTTTACCAACAACAAGGCACAAAATAAAATATATTTCCCTTTTTTTACTTTGCAAAATCTGTAAATAAAAGGTTTGATGATTCTTTGATGATTCAATGGTATGTTCATTACAATTGTATTTAGTTATTTTATTCATTTTTTTCCAATACATTAATTAAGTTTTTATAATTAAGTCCACAAAAAAGTCCCAAGGTAAATTTGAGAAAGATCATTTGTAATGCTATGAAAACATGTATACTCCTGTTTGGGGTCAGTAAGATTTTTTAATGTTTGAAATAAAGAAGCCTTCCTGTAAAGCCAAATTTGAATTTTCAGCATCCATTATTCAACTCTTTGTCACATGATCCTTCAGATATCATTGTAATATGCTGGTGCTCAAGTAATAAATTGATAAATTGAATGTGTCCTTATGCATCACGCTTGGCATCGCGAGCCACCGGTTACAGTTGCTGAATTAAAGTGTTAATTTCTTTAAAACAAATTCTTTCTGGCCCTAAACAAAGCGGTAGTGTATATTAGAGTGTAATTGAGATTTGAATTGAATGATTACCCATCATCTGAGCCACTGCACAGTATGCCTTCTCTGAGAGGTGACCAACGCACATGAAATACTTTGGCCGTGTGACCTGTAAAGACTTTTAGTGGCTGGTCTGAACTGGTGGCCAAGTAATAGACTCGAACATTCTTGTCTTCACAGCCAGTGGCAATCATATCTCTGCAATAGTGAAAGAGAGAATGAAAATGTATTAATTATAATTGTCATGGCAAGATAAAATAATACTGGTAAAAAGGATCTGTTTGCGTATCTGATTACACTGATCACATACTTGTTATTTTGACTCCAGTCACAGCCAAACACTGCTGCTGGATGTTTGTATTTGTGCAACACTTTGCCGTCAATGGTTCGAATTATGCTGAAATCACACAATGAAAAGTAACAATATCATGTCTGTGAATATGAGGACAATACGGCTTCATTACATGTATTGGACTATGGCTTGTGGGAATGTTAGCCAAAACTAAAAATGGACTCACCAAAATCCATCTCCACTGCATGTGGCTATTCTTTTGGAATCCTTATGACTCCAAGCAACACAAAAAATACCATTCTTCCCATGCTGCAACACAATCCCAGTAAAACTCATGATGATTACGAATTAATTAAATTAGAGTTATTAATTCTAAATAATTTGTATCCTTAAAAAAAAAGAATGCTTGCCTCATTAAATCTTGTGATCATTTTTCCCTTTTTAACATCCCAAATAAAGGCACCATTTCTTGACGTAGCTCCTGCTATGCAGTTCAAGTCTCCTTTGGGTTACAGTGAAACATAGAAATGAAGGAAAGAGTTACACAGAAACGAAACCTGTCTGAATCTGCAGCGGTAACATGGGCTATTCTAATAGTATATATATCGTTCTTACCAGGGGCCCAGGACAGAGAGTACACCACTCCCTCATTTCCCGGAGATGTGTACACAGCAGTTAAGGTGTTTATATCCCAGACTTTTATCGTCCCATCAAATGAAGCTGTAGCTAAAATGTTTGGGTCATCTGGCTTGAATTTACAGTCGAAGATAGTTTCAACATGACCCTGTGACAAAAACAATGTCACAAAGTCAGAGAAACCTTACATGATTGTATTATAATTATATAATCATTATAATGACTTCATAGTTATTGTTAACTAAAACTAAAGACTTAAAAACATTTTAATCTAAATTAAGCCGCAACTACACGTCAATTACCTCTCATTAATTTGCAACTACATGTCAACTAACTTGTTAATTAGGAACTATGTCAACTACCTCATTAAAGTATAAGTAGACTGTTAGATTAGGGTTGGTAGAATAAAGCCCTATTCACATGGGATAAGTATTACTTGGTAACCTATAATCCCGTGCGAATCGGCCATGTCTATAATTTGTAAAGTAAAAATGCCCCTGCAAATGACCTACTATATTTCGCCGTACACCGAGATCCTGTGATACTATTAGTCCCGTACGAATCGGCATCTCTGTGATTTACATAGTATAAAGCAATTAACATAGTATCTTCCTCTGGAGCGCCAAATGACACCCCCGGACCATCCACTTAATGTGACTGGGAAGACCATGGGACATCATCCGGACAGCTCATGGGTTGCGACACTGGAGAGGGGGATGTGGCCTGAGGACGAATCATTGGTTGGTTGTGCTACACCGTTACCCTCAGGTCACCCTGGCCACCAGCTGAAGAACCAGCTCCCATAAAAAAGGTAGATTTCTCTAGGGCACTCTCCCTTTTGCAAGATCATTGAGTCTAGACCGAAGTGTCACGATGGCCATATTTCATCAATGAAAACATGAGTCATCCACTTAGGGCTTAGGGAGTGAAGCATACACTTGGCTCCAAAACAAAAACATATCTGCATATTGTTCTCCTTTTATACCCATGAGGTGGGGCGGAGTTGCACCATGCAAATTCCTCAGACCCATGGCATTTCTTTGCCATTGGCTCGTTTTGTAAGACTCAAAGTTGATAGGCTTTCTAAGAGAAAAACCCCATTTGTCGCCATCCGACGGAACGTTGGGTAGACACCGGATGCTTAATCAGAAGTGAAAGGAATTAGATCTACACAGTAATGTCCTGAGATAACCATAAGAGCATGTATTAAAAGGATACTCCACACAAAAATTCTGTCATCATTTACTCACCCTCAAGTTGTTGGAACCCTGTATGAATTTCTTTCTTCTGCTGAACACAAAGGAAAATATTTTGAAGAACAATTTGGCACCATTTACCTCCATAGTATTTTTTTTTTCTACTATGGATGTAAATGGTGCCAAACAACTGTTTTGGTTACACGGGTTCTTCAAAATATCTTCCTTTGTGTTTAGCTGAAGAAAGAAACTCATACAGGTTTGCAACAACTTGAGGGTGAGTAAATGATGACAGAATTATCATTTTAGGGTGGAGTAACCCTTTAATGTTATAAACAAAATAATTGAGTTCAGACAGTTGAATTATTGAAAATTAATGCAGAGCCACTTTAGAAATTAGACACCTGCGGTATGCACAGTTTGCTTTGTGTTGTGGGTGTGTTATCACCTCAGTTGTGCATTCATTTATGATAATTCAGTGGCTTGTTGTCAATTATTCCTTACTTAACCATGGAGTGAAAAGGTTATGTTGCATTTTCTGTCGTTAACAACAATCAAGGCAACTACAAGAGCTGTTTACCTCAGAAAACAACATGAACTCTTGTTGAATTGTTCAGCACTAGGACGGAAGGGCACCACTTCAAAAGCAGAATAACTAATATAAAAGCATCATTATGAGCCATTGGTGCTTACTTGAATACATTAATTTTGTTAATAAGATAACCTACAGCTAACTTTAACAAAATATGTTTTTTTTTGTGTGTGTAGATATTAAATATAAAAGGTGTAATAATCATTTCAGGGTTTTTTTTTTTGTTTGTTTCTTAGTGCACAGGTAACAAACAACATGTCAGTTTTCTTACCAGATCCCGCAGGAAGTCCCACTTTTTGGCACCCATGTCATACAGTCCAACTCCTCCATCCATGAAACAACAGACAGCGTGCCCAGGTGGGAGGGAGAAGGCTTGGTTCTGTGAAAGTGTAGGTGGAGGCACAGCCTCGCTAGTGGAGGAGGTGTAGTGATTCTTGGAAGGGGAGTTTGAGCTAAAGGCTGAGAGCGATAACACCAAAATCAATATGAGTAATTATGATGCTGTACACAAACATTTAAATAAAAGCTAAATGGTGAATAAGAAAACATACATTTCTTTGCTGGCGGGGAATTTAAAACATGAAGTGCATGGAAGCCGGTTTTCTTCAGTTTAAAGTTATCCAGAGGTGTCGCTCTTGATACGTTCCAAACTCTTAGCACACCAACTTGAGAATCTTGAGAATTCAATATAAGTAGATAAACATTTTTTTTTAACTGATGCGAATATGAAAATATGACTGAGCATTCCATTTCAATCAACACCACAAACTGTAAATGTAATTAATAATTAAATGATATCAGATCAAAGTTGGTCTGTTACTATTTCCCACTGGCCCTTATGTTTGTGTGTTGTTTATCTTACCCCCTGTGATAAACATGCCAGGGGCGCTGGGCACCCAGGCCAGACACTGCACGGAGGCAGCAGCACTGGGGAAACTAAAGGTAGTGATGCAGCATAGAGACTCAGAGTCCAGTAGTCTAATTCCATTGTGCATGTTGGCCACCAGTAGGTAGTCTGTGCTGAGAGGGTCCCACTCAAGAGCTGTGATGGGGTCTTCCTCATCTGTGCCTTCTAACGACTCGGGCCGCAGTACGTGCTTTTGATTCTTTGAGCCTAAGGTGATATAATTAAAAGAAACTCATGTTATTGTTCATATTAGATCAGGGCACTATTATCTCTTTTATTTATAACACTATTTTCCATCATTTATGACACAACATTTTCCCGCCATGGATGTTTCCTTTAGGCAATCTATTTTTTTACTGTTGTACCATAGGGGGTGCAGTTACTAGGCTAATGACTGTGTACAAATTAATGACTTTACTAAATTCAAGGCATTGCAATTGCATAAATTAGTATCAAATTTTCAAAGAATAAATCAATTACAAATTATGCAAATATTTATTTTGCACATTGCAACAATGCACAGTAAAAAATAAAATTCAAACTAAAATGTTTAACTTGACCCCACTCATGTGTACATTAAATAATCTACTGGCCTGCAGAAAAGTTTTTAAATTAAATGTTCTCTCATAAAAACAAAGCCGAGCTGGAACTTCTCATCACATCAGCACCCAGTTTGCATGTCTAAATTAGTTGCTTACATTTAAAAAAATGAGCATACAATATGAAATTAAATTAAATGAAAATGAAAAAAAGCCTTATTTAATGAACAAAGGTTTAATACAAATGTACACGAAACTTAATGAAATATGTTTGGTGAAATTAGAAAATATCTAAGAAGAGCATTCAATTAGAGGAGACTAGTACTGCGGGGGCAGGCAAAAGTAAAAACAAGGCTTCCGTCTCCTCGCGGGTTCAGAATCAGATATACAGAAATATGTCCACTCTGCAGATGTGTTGCTTCAGACAAGCACATGCAGGTTGTGGTTTCTGTTTGCGTCATCACAACATTTCGGCCGTATTGTTTCAGTGATAAAAGTCTTTCGGTGGCCGGATATTGGGTGCATCCCTACCAAAAATGAGTAATTATCTCCTTGAGAATGTCTGACAGCGGTACACACTGTAATAGACGTGCCAGGCGTGAAAGCTTGACAGGCATAGCAACAGTAACTAGGGAGGGCGGGGCTTAGCGAAGGGTCAATAGCAACCCTGATTAGTTCTTTATTGTTCCATCAGGTGTTAATGATTTCCTTGTCATCTAGTGCTTTAGACAGTCATTGACTTTGGTGTTTGCATTCCTGTACAGGATTATGTTCCTGGTCCCTGGTTGGATTAGCTTTTTTAAAATGTTTTTCTTTAATAACCTTTTGTTGCATTTTGTCTTTCGTCAAAATATATTCTGGGTTCCGCAGAAGAAATAAATGCATAAAAGTTTGTAATGACATGTTCTTAGCATTAACAAATGATTTAACATAAGCAGTTGCAGTACCTGGTTGAAAGACGGACAAACTGCCATCAGTGTGTCCAAACACCACTTTTCCCTTCTTCAATGGATGCCAGCGGAACAGGCAGATATCCGAGAGGAAACTGTGAGCCTCCTTATGCACAGTGACTCCTGAGTCAGGCCCAGAAATGGACCATATGTACAGAGGACCCCGGTGGGATACGAATGCAACACTGTCACCTGCATTCCAGCACCAGCTTATAGAAGCTGGAATACCTGGGAAATATACATTTAAACAAGTTTAAGACCTGACATAAATAAAAGTCATAAACAAAACTGCTATTAAAATATCTTAGTATTGAGTTAAAATTATTCAAAACGGTTCATCTTTAGTCTGAGAAAAACTTGTGGTGTCTTGATACATGTCAGGTGGAATATGTGTCTTGAGCTGGTGTGTATTTAAGGACACTAACAGTACAGTAAGTGTGTGGGCAGTGGTACCTTTGGTGTTATCTAGCCGTGTAATGGCCTTCTGCTCGGCCACGTTCCAAATAATGAGCAGGTTATCAGCACTTGCACTAGCAAACACTTCAGGGTTGTGTGGACACCACGATATAGCCGTGATTGTCTTCTTGTGTTCAGACATGATCGCTCGCAGCTTAAACTCATTGTATCTGTGATCAAGCTGGAAAGACACAATTCAATCAGTTAAATAACATAAAAAGTCACATTAGACTACATAGGCTGTAAAAAGGTTAGTTCACCCAAAAATGAAAATTAAAATGAGGATATTTTTAATGAAACTTGAGATATTTATGTTTCTCCATTTAAAGTCCATTCAACCAAAATGTTGACACTTTAGAAAGTTAATTAAGACATCCTAAAAATAATCCCCCCAAAAAATTCAGTGATTTAATGAAGAAACATAATCGCTTTTTATGATGAACAGATTTAATTTAGGATCTTATTCACATATAAACATTGATCCACGTGAATACATAGAACACATCTAATATGTGTAAAATAATATATAGACATTTTATAATCTTATTAGATTATTTATTTATTTATTAATTTGCATTTAGACTGTTCTGACCACTAGGGGTCCCCATGGAAATGGGTGTCAGATTGTTTCGAAGCCTTGATCTGCCCACTATGTAAAGGTTAGGGGTTGAGTTATGAGGCAATGACTCATTGATGCAGGGAAAATGGGCTTTATTTCCCAAAAAAAAAAACCTTTGGGGGAGACACTGTAAAGTGATCAGGCAGGGCACAAACAGTACATACCGGTAAAACAACGAACTAACACAGGACTGATAACACAAGGGCTGAATCCAATATCGCTATTTCCTACGTTAGTCCACTAATAATGTTCACTTGAAGGAGTGATTGAAAACGAGTGAGTGAATTCGGACAGCTGTTAAGCGTACATCGGTTGTATACCCGTTATTGCGGTTGAATGAGTGCACTCAATAATGTCCACTATGGTTTCGGACACCACTACAAATGGGTGTTCCATCAAATAACTTTGGGGTGATTTTGGGTTCAGCCAAGAAGAATAAATAGGGCAGCAAACAAGAAGGATAAGGAGGGAGAGCAGATGGAGCAAATTAACCAATAGTCAGGTAACAAGAGGGCGTGGCAAAGACTAAAGACAGACAGAAGAGCACATGGCACAGAGAAACAAATAAAAAGCCAAAACAAACACAACGAAAGCCATGTGCTCGCACAGAAAACAAGACACAAGACAGACAGAAGTGCACGGAGCATGGATGTCAAGAACCCGACATTGAAACTGAACCAAGACTAGATCGAAATGTCACGATCCAGACACCATGCCTCACACATGCAATACACAGACATAAGAACGCACTGCCCAGAGAAAAATCCCAAAGTTGTGCCTGAGACAAACATATTCCGTTTACCATATTTATTGTGCTCAATATGAATCTGCATATATCATCAATTGTTATTACTCTAATTGAAACTCTCAGGCTGCATAAAAAAATATCTTCATTTGTGTTTCGAAGATAAACGAAAGTCTTATGAGTTTGGAATGCCATAAGGGTAAGTAAGTGACGAAATTTTAGTTTTTGGGTGAACAATACTTTTAAAGGTTTCCTCCACTTTTTTTTTTTTTTTTTTTTTTTTTTTTCAAATAGGCTCATTTTACAACTCCCCCAGAGTTAAACAGTTTACCGTTTTCAAATCCATTTAGCCGATTTTCTGATATTTAGAAGAATAACCAGACAGTTTCTGGTCCCATTGACTTCCATAGTATATGACCAAAATTGTCTGGCTACTGATATTCTTCTAAAATATCAGAAAATCGGCTGAATGGATTCCAAAACGGTAAAAACTCAACTTAACTGTGGGGGAGTTGTAAAATGAGCCTATTTCTAAAAAAAGTGGAGTATCCCTTTGAGTTAATTTTGTCAATAAAAAAGGAAAGAGGAATTTACAGTCCATTATTTACTATAATTCATATTAAAACAGTTACACTTACTTGGTATACATATATGGCGAGCGTGGCACAATACGCAAACCGGTCCCCACTGGCAGCACACACGTCCTTATTCCAGGGCTGACATCCAGCCGCCAGCAGTCCAACCTGCTTCACCTGAGACATCTTTATCTGGACAACGAGACAGTAGCGGCAATAAGGATCTGTGATGTGGTCTATTGGTCTCAGCATTTATAATAAAAGCACAGTTGTTGCAGTTAAGAAAACAGACATTTAATTTTGACATGGAAATAAATGTAACTTTAACTATAAGCATGTTATTGATGTTACTGTGAACAATTTATACATGCATGTTTTTAACTTGATCTTCAAGTGATCGAGATTTATTTGATGTTTTTTTTTTTTACTGACCAAGTTCGAGAGGAGCATGTTCAGATAATAAAATAAATTAGCACGGGGGGGACACATTCAGTTAATCAACTGAATTAGCATAACAGGAGGCAACAGTATATACAGCAGACATACCTCTGTCCCACAACAGTTTTCCAGCATCCCCAGAGTTTTCCAGCCCTCACCTCGGACAACACGCCAAATACGCATAGCCAAATAAAAACTCACCCCATTCTTACAATCAAATGCAATGTCCATCCAATCAACAACAGATATATAGATTTTTCCTGTTTGGAATGGATAAACCAGTTCACTCTGATGTACATCACAATAAAAAATAAAATATTTACCACTACTTCTGTTATATTGCAATTTTAACACATCTAATTAGTGTTAAAGAGCCCCTATCATGGAGTTTTGAAAATGAGCCCCTGTCATGGAGTTCATGTGGTGTGGAATATAGCTCTAAGGGAATGAAAACATCATGCAAAGATTTATATCTGAAAGTGCACCGTATATAAAGTTATTGTCTTCCAAAAGTGAGAGTCGACTCTGAGTCTATGAAATGAATTGTTTTTGAAACGAGTCATTAGCTGTTTCGTAGTGACGTAGATACAAAACATAAGCATATTGGTGTTCTAGACTTCAAGTTTACACTTCCGTCTGTGACGGAAACTTGAAGTCTAGAACACAAATACTTCAGCTGAATAGCATCATGTCGAGAAGACGCTGTGTTCTACAATGCAAAGATAGTTCATCCACTTTGTTTTCATTGCCAAGGGACGAGCATGTGAAGAATCTGTGGTTAGAGTTCATATTGGCAACGCCAGTTTGTGTTAACTTCTCATCATTTTAATGACGAATCATTCAAAAACATAAATGAATTCAAATGTGAATTCGCAAGCCGGTTGTTCCTGAAGGAGGTCTCAGTACCCAGTGTATATGGATCAGCTTTCTCCACCGAATCACAACCTGTAAGTATTATTAATAATTGTTGCTTTTATGGGTTTTGTAGCGTCGGGGCGCGAGGAGGGAAGGCGCAATAAGTATGTGTGTGCGTGCGTGTGTGTAAGTTACGCTCAGCGCAGCTTCTAGGTCTCCAATGTCATTTTTTTTTAAATATGTGAAATGTTTGTCGCTGTTATAGGAGACGTCATAAACGTCATAGTGCAGTGCTTTATCAATATGTTTATAAACATATTGGGCTAACAAACAATAACTGACTGGGTCATCTGACCAATCACCGGAAATTAGCGTCATGCAAAGGAGTGGTTTGGAAAAATTAGTCGTTGTACGAATCATTTGGGAGTCGGTGAGCAAATGAGGTAAAAAAAAGCGCATATTATAAGACAACATAAGTGCTTTTTGTCATTGCATTCATGTAAAACTGCTGTTTGGGACTCCCAGAACAATATTAGGAACATTTTAAATGCCATAGTTGCCCTTTAATCTGACAATGACATATAACTAGCATCTAAGCTACATTTTGTAAAGACTGAAAAACAAACAAACCAGATTGTACTGAAATATTTAGATAAAAAAAATCCAGACCTCAATGTTCACTCTCTCTCTCTCACAACTTAAAAGCACCATTTGAGCCCATTCATGTGAAGTAAAAAAAAAAAAACACACACTTTCAAATGCATGTCTCAAGGCGCCTGCATTCTGTTCCATTCCGATTGCACTGCGTCTATCTGTTTCTGAACACAATAACATGTCCTGTGTGAGCAGCCCCTTAGGGTGACACTAGCGAGAAACAAGCCTCTGCTTGATCTAACTCTCTCTTCTTTACATTTAAAGTGATAAGGCTACATCAGATGACTTAAAGATCGTCACGCTGCTCCTACCTTTGGTTCATTGTGATATTTGCTGAAACAGCACAGGCTTTCCATGTCTGCTATCCTCTCGCCTTGACAGACGTAAAGCCAAACAGGGCTCAGTAATAGCGACTACAGGAAAAAATAATCGTTTCAGTAGTCTGTGTATGACTGTTGCCCAATGTGTGAGTGCATATATGTAAAAATGGGGTAGAGAAAGAGAACCTGCTCATTGACTGGTGCAGGCTGCTCATGTGGGAGAGGTGGCTGGAGACGAGAGTGATGGAACAGCTCCCGCCGGTAGCCAGGCAACAGCAAGATCCCTTCATTTAAACTCCTCTCACTTACCCCCCTCCCTGACATACGTGCAACCACACACCTCATCTCACCCCTGCACAGCCTCCTCGAAGGTGTTTATGCTGCTCCCTTTTGCCTAATGATTAACATGCTCCTCTGTCCAGCATGTCTACACGACCACAACACAATACGTCACATGCACAAACTTACACAGCCTACATTGCACATACAGCAAGATCCACAACCGCAATAATCTAATTGTGATTTTACTGATAAAAATGTATATTTAAAATGTGATTTAAAAAACACATGCTGTGCTTGTTTATAGGGCCACCCAATTTGGGATTACACAAATATTGTGATTATATATCACAATGTCTATAAAACAAACAAATAATTAAATAATAATAATTATTTTATTGTTATTATTACTAAATAAAATATTAAAATGACTAAATAACACAGCAACAAAATATTACAATTGCATAATTTCACTCTATAAAAGTACAATGCTAATATTTAAGGCTGTCGTAATTTATTCATTTTCAGATGTTAAAAGTAAACATAACATTTTATTTTTGAGTTCCAAGAGTTCACACATTACTTCTCATTAACTTGTACAATGTACTACAATTATATCTGATGAAATATACCAAATACATATGCTGTGAGTGTGAACAGCTACATAAATTGTTGTTCTTTTGCCTTCCATGTTTTCAGGCGATGCAAACAAAGATTTTAGATTACAGCAATTTTGGACTGACACGCAAAACTTGAATAAATCTAATTTCGTAATATTATCCTTATAATATTGTAATATTATCCATATAGTTTAATCATTACGAGCACAAGTCAGAATTGCTGACTACAGGCCTGTTCAAACCAAGGACGATAACTATAAAGACAACCTAATATAAGGTAAGTACATGGAACAGGGGTAGGTTCAGGGTTAGTACTAGTTATTACCCAGTAATTGTAGTTACTAAAATAAGTACATAGTATTTACATGGGTAACTGGAAGCCTTACCACGATAACTATATTAGCATCCACACCAGCACACAATATAATGTTCTATTTATTCATGTGCTTGTCTGTCACTATAACCCTCATGCATGAATTATGATAACCTCAGGCCACCCTTAAAAATATTCTTGTTTGCCGTAACCCGACCGACTCTGTCAATTTAGGGCCGACCCAATTTTTTTTTTTTTTTTTTTCTTTTAGTCCGACCGACTTGCCGGTTGTAACTTGCGTTCAGACCGACCGATTTTTTTTTTTACTCTTCAAACGACTAATTCAAATTCAATAAAATAATATTAATTGTATTTTAGTTAGTATTGTGAAAGTTGCTTGTGTCTACATAGCCTACACACGTAGGCTACGTTCTTTCTTAAATAAAAACCCGTGGCCTCATATTCATCAGATTATGTTTACACCATTGGTTTAACGTTACGCGTGTCACTATATGGCTTGTACGTTCGCTCGTTTCAGTGTTCCCGCTTGGTATCCGGTATTAAAAGGGCAACGGGGCTGAATATCAACCATTTCTATATATAATAAAAATATTAAACAATTTGTCTGTGATGCAATTTTGCTATTCGCAGCCCAGAAGAGAGAGCGATCTCTCACCCGGAGCCACAGCGCGCACAGCACGACAGCCCTGCTTAATGAGTGACAATGAGGACAAAACGTGGTTACACTTTAGATCTGGGATATTATTCTAATTGTATTTTAGATTTCCGCTTTCAAAGATTATAAAAAGAAGATATTTGAGATGAAACCATTACAGACGCATTCTGTCTAGCGCAACTTCCTTCCCTTCACAGCGCTGCGCTGTCATTTCTTCCTAAAACCCAAACGTACCGTCAGAATCAGCACGATCGGTGATTGTTGGAAAATGCAGTCTGTACTGTTGCTAAACTGCGGACGCGTTAAATCATTAAAAGAGCTATTAAAAGCACAAAAGTCTGCGCAAGAGACGTTGTTCACGACGCGCGCTCCGAAATGCACTAAAACGAGACAAGAAAAGTAGGCTATCGCCTCATTTTGGGCTTCATGTGCGCATCTAAACCATCAAATATACATAAAATATAAAAATGACCTGCTCTGCGATTCATTTAAACACAGTTTATGTCTTAATTGGACGTAAGTTGGGAGAAAATGATGGTGCAGCATCAGTCATCTATTACAGTAGAGTTCTGCATTCGTTCTTAAAGGAGCAGTAGTCTAATAAACGTGACGATTGAGCCAATGCGAATCAAACAACAAAATTCACTCACAGCTCTTGAATGAATAACTTAAACTTTAATAAGCATTAATCTAACCATGATAAACTATGCAGTGTCATTTTACATTTGATTACTAGCTAAATTAAATTTCTTTTCAGAGAGAGCGACAGATTTAACTGAAAAGTAGCTAATTTTAGACCTTCCTGAAATTAAAGCACTGTGTATATAGGCTAATTTGTATCTTTGTTTAATTGTATTCTTTGTTTGACCATGTGTTTGTACTTGTTTTTGCTTATCTCATGTATATATGCATAACAAATAGATATTTTATACATTTTGTGACTAGCCTAAAATGTAACTGGTCGTATTTTGCATTAACACCTAGCGGTGGATGCAGTTTGAAGACCCAGTCAGTGACGTCACAATATGCATTTTTTTTTTTTAAATTCACGATCACCATCTCCAAAATTGTACCTTTTTTTTTACACTGAATCTTGGAAAAAAAAAATATAGACCTACCTACCGACCCTTTTTTTAAAAAAAATTGCTGTTACTGCAAACCAAAATATTTTTAAGGATGGCCTCAGTCAGGATTTTTTTCCTATGTGTTTTTATTGCTTTTATGGCATGAACAAGATTTTTTTTTGTACACATTTTTTAATGAGATTTTCAGACGTCCACTTAAGTGGACAGGTTGCGTTTATGGTTTAAACTGAATTATACCGTATTAAACATAATACAATAATCAAACAGATATAGTGTGTGTATTTAACAAACTCATTAATAAAATTATCATATGAAAACTATAGACCATTTTGCAAGATGTAAACAAAACTGGTCCAGAAGCACTTCCTGTTTGAGTTTTTTAACACTACATAAAAGCTGGGATAAAATACAACCAACAGAATATAAAACTGAATCAAAAAGTTAAACAAACATCTTTAAGATTTTTTCTTTACATGTGAAATAAAGAAAACAGTTACAAACTGAAACAGGAAGTGTTTCTGGACCAGTGTTGTTTACATCTTGTGAAATGGTCTATAAAATATATACAAAAAATATAAATGTGAAATATTGCAAAGGCAATTGAACTTCATACAAGTTGAACATTGCATATCTTTAATATTAGAACTTTAGGACGTGGTTCCATCATACATTTCTACAGCCTGTCAAGGTACAACTGTGGAAACCACTGCGATGCTCCCAGTTCCGACTTACGTGCCATCCAGAAACTTGCGCTCTGCAAGCGAATGTCGTCTTGTGGTAACATCTCAAAGAGGCACAAAATCTCTTTCTCTGACCTTTACCATGACTGTTCCCTGCTGGTGGAATGATCTGCCTAACTCAACCAGAGCTGCTGAGTGTGTAGCCACTTTCAAGAAATGGCTATAGCTCATCTGAAATGAGCAGTGTTATGGGGGAAATGCATTACAAGTAACATGCATAATGCAATCAGATTACTTTTGTGATACTATAAGTAAAGTAATGTGTTACAAGTAACGTGCATTACATAATCAGATTGTTTTTAATGTTACAAGTAATGTATTACAAGTAGAGCCCGCCCGATAAAGGATTTTGAAGGCCGATACCAATATTTTTGGGTTTTAAAATACGATATTCTGAAATATCAGCCGATATTTTTTTTTTATTAAATATTTTTGGATTTCACACACGTGTAAAAGAAAAGCTAACTTTTCTGCACAAGATACGTATGATACTTTTTCTCTATGTCTAAATGTTCACTCCTCGCAAGTATAACATACATTTTACAATGCAGGGACTGTAACTAGAGATATGCTAGCTATAAATACAGTAATCATTACTTTATTTAGGCAGAAAAAGTTCATTGTGGTTTCCAAACTCATTAATGTTAATGTTAGCGGTCTTCCACTGATGATATTGGCATTAGCTTCCTTTATGGTTAGCTAGTCGATGATGAGCCATAATTTAGCAATAGATAACATCATACTGCAAGTTGTAAAACATACATTTTCAATATAACAGGCCAAGGAGAGATTATTGAAGTGTGTTTCGTCCGTTTTTATTTTATTTTTTAAATATTCATTTGTCGGCCATTATAACTGCCGATACCGATATTATGGAAAATGCCTAATATCGGCCGGCCGATATATCGGTCTGGCTCTAATTACAAGTAACATGCATTACATAATCAGATTACTTTTTGATCTGACAAGTAATTAATTAATGTGCATTACGTAATCAATTTTTTTATGTTAAGAGTAATGCATTACAAGTAACAAGCATTACGTAATCAGATTACTTTTTGATCTAACATTTAAAGTAATAAATTACAAGTAAGGTGCATTACAAAATCAGGTTACTTTTAATGCATTAGAAGGCATATGCATTATGTAATCACATTTTATTTTATGTCAAGGAACATGACATTCTAATAAAACATACATTTATTTATAGTCAAAAAAAGTTATCGCCGATTAAGTATTTTCAAAAACAATATTCACAGTATAAGTATGAATTGAAATACAGCGATTGATGCATGAGGTCCACTATTGTGGACAGATGATTAATCAGATAATTCTCCCAATCTAAAATCAAAACTTGGAAAACTTAACTGTGATAAGACTAATTAGATATTGCTTGATGCTGAAATATAGAAATCGACACACAACGGATTGCCACTTGTTTGCAATGGTAGAGGTTAGA